TTGACAGAGAAAATGCAAACAAAATAAGCACTGGGTATTTGTTTGCTTTCATGTGTCTGATCACATCATATCATAATGATCTCAAGCAATAGGATTATCTCGGTCTTTTTTTTCTTCTAGGACTTAATATTGAGCATTAAAAGCATCCCCACCCCAGTAAAACCCTCCACCCTTTTGTTATTAAAGGTCACACTCTAAAGCTCCTTCAGTATGCTGAGCCATAATTCATCTGGGCCTAATGATGTTTAACCTGTTATGTGCTACAGACTTTCTTTTTTAAAGATTTATTTATTTATGCACACTAGAACTGGGGTACAGGCCAGAAATACAGGGGGAGGGGCTGGCTGCTGGTGGTGAGAGGATTCAACAAAGATAGAGTGGGGAGCAGAACATGCAGAGGTACTGAAACACACTGCTAAGGGGAGCAGCAGGCAGGTCAGGAGAGGTACTATGTGGCTACCCCCTGGCAGGGGATGGAACTTATGCTGGCTGTGGACAGCTTCACAGTGCTGCGCTTTAACCCTTTTCCCCACCAGGGAGCGCCCAGCGCTACAGATTTTCTTAATCTCTCCTTTCACATCTGTAGCTCTTTATATTTTCCTTTGCTTCACATCCTTCCTCTAAACTTGGTCCCCTTAAGATCCTAACTTTATTGGGCATTGTATTCTCTGAATTTATCTTTCATTTCTTCTTTACCTAGATCATTGGATTTTCTAGGTCAGAATCTAGCTCTAAGCACCACCTACTCTTTTGAAACCATATCTTTTTTATAGTCTGTACTGTGAAGTCATGTATATTTTTAATATGATCTTTTTTTTAATGTATAAAGTAATTCCTACCTATAAAAGAAAATTTAGAAGCATAAAGGAAGCACGCTGTGGCAGAGACTGCTGGCTCTCAGTATCCATTCTCCTTGCTTCCTTGAGGATGCCCAGAATAAACCCTACATTTCCTCATGTCCCTGGCACATGGCTGTGGCCACGTGACTATCTTTTAGTCAGTGGAATGTGGGCAGAAGTGATGGGTGTGCAACTTGGAAGTTTTGTCCTTAAATCCCCTATCACTCCTTTTTTCTGGTTACCTGTTTTTACCGACCAGAATGCAGCCACAGCAGACATGGTGGGGGAACCATCTTCTGTGCTGAACAGGGATCACTCTGCAAATGGCCCTTCATCAGAATATCAGGAGAGTATGTAGTTGTAGAGACACCCTATCTGTTCTGGAATGTATATGCTAAGGCTGTTGTATGAGAATTAACTTTATCTATCTCACTGAAGCTATTGGATTTTGGATTTTCTTTGTTACAACAATTTCACATATATCCTAGTTTCAAAGCCCTGTATCAGTCTAGACCCTTCAGAAGGAAACCACATAGTAGGTCAAGCAAGGGAAATTGAATGTTAAGCATTCACTTTGACAAAAGCATAATTGTAAAATACAAGAAAACTATATATGATGTAAAGGACTGAGAAAGAGTGCTTGAGGAAGGACACCTTCAGCATGTCTGGGATGATTGGAGGGGTTGAAGGGGTTGAAGGGAAGTTGAGGAGACTTAGGAAGGAAGGATTGCTCAGTGTGTGGCCCTACTGGCCACAGATGACTGCTTGTAGGCCATGACGGCTTGCTGAAGGAGTATCAATAAGCTCCGTACCAGTCATGCAAGGCTCTGTGTGTTTGTGTGTGAAAGGAACTTCAGAGAGGTTGTTGCCAGGTTAAAGCTGCAAGGTGGGCAGAGGTTACTGAAGTCTGGGAGCGTGACTAGAGCAGACCTTACAAGATGTTTTCATAACCACATACTGGTTCCATCCTAGTCTTCCTTCAGTATGCTTTAATGAGAAGGCTTAAAATTGTGCTCACTTGAAAGGAGACAAGCTTAAAGGAATTCTGTTATTTCTAGTACCACCTACATTGAAGTGTAGTATTATATTTATATCTGAGAGGCAATAAATTGATAACTGATACAAGGACTTATGTTCAAAGTCTTTAGGACTTAGGGTTTTTAGAACTCTTTTTTTGGAGGATCAAACCAAAGATGACCTATAAAACAACCTAAGGATTTTGATTTTTATAATGGGAAGAGCCAGATGTAGGAATGTCTATTGGAAATACAGTTCAGAAGGCTATAAAATGCAAAGGAAAAGTCCTTCATACAAGAGGACATTCATTCACCAGAGATAAATACTTGCTTAACAACTTGGTGCTTTTCTTCCAGCAAACAAATATAGGAATAACACAAAAAAGGACACACATGTGGACTTCAAAGTTTTTTTTTAACTTATATCAAGAAATCAATATATCATGCGAAACAATAAATGCGATCCAAGTATGAAAAATTACCATTGGGTGAGATTTGGGGAGCTAGCCCTCTCTTAACTGTCTTCCTTCCATATGGTCAAATTTGGAATTATGCTCCTCTAGTCTAAAACTCTGGTGTTTGATGATGGAGTGGATGAAAAACCATTTGCAGAGTGTTCCCTGGTCAGCACAGAAGATGGTTCCCCCACCATGTCTGCTGTGGCTGCATTCTGGTCGGTAAAAACAGGTAAAGGCAGGAAAAAGGAGTGATAGGACACTTAAGGACAAAACTTCCAAGTTGCACACCCATCACTTCTGCCCACATTCCACTGACTAAAGACAGTCACGTAGCCACAGCCATGTGCCAGGGATATGAGGAAATGTAGGGTTTATTCTGGGCGTCCCAGCCAACATTTGCGTGTCTCAAGGAAGCGGGGGAATGGATACTGAGAGCCAGCAGTCTCTGCCGCAGTGCTTCTAAATTTGCCTTCTAAAAGTAGGAATTTTTATATTGAGAAAAATCATTTATAATGAGAAAAAGAGCATACATAGGATTTTACAGCAGAGGCTATGAAAAGGGACTTTGATTTTCACATACAAGATTCGTATTTCACTGGCACAATCTTTTGTGCCTCATCTGGTTCCTTCACAGCTGGCAAACCTGAACCTGGAGGGGAGGAAAGGTCTCAGGCTCCTTTGAAGGCTCATAGGTTTACCAGCTGACTCCGCTCTAGGACAGGCGCCCTAGACCTCTCGTCTCCCGGGGTCTGCCCTAGACCCGACACCGCCCCCCCAGTCCATCCCGGGAGACCACCGCCCCCTGCACGCCCCGCCCCACCACAAGGGAACCCGCGCTTCCAGCCCGCCCCCACTCCTGGCTCCACCTACCTGGCCGGGTCCCGCCTGCCACGGCGTGACGCACACCCCCGAGCTCCGCCCACAGGAACTCGCCGCCCTGGCTCCACCCCGCCGGAATCCGCGCCGTCGCGCCTCGAGCTCCGCCCACCTCGCCTCAGGCTACCGGGGGCC